GAGAGAGAGAGAGAGAGAGAGAGAGAGAGAGAGAGAGAGAGAGAGAGAGAGAGAGAGAGAGAGAGAGAGATCCGATCGCCGGGCGTTGCCTGTGCAAGGGAACAAGTCCTGGCTGTTGCAAGCAATCGCCACCTTTCAACTGCCTCCGCCCTAGACTGATATCCGGTTCTTTCATTCACAGTATGAAGATCTGTTTGCGTGTTTGCAGTATGATAATCGATGTAAGTAAAGATCTGTCTATCAATACTAAATAAATATATTGATCTGTCTATCAATACTAAATAAATATATTGATAGACAGATCTACAAATTAAGATCTCCTTTCCGCCCGCACGCACGATAGAGAGATAGAGAGATAGGTAGATGAGGTAGGTAGATGAGATAGATAGATAGATAGATATGTATATATACACAGAGAGAGAGAGAGAGAGAGAGAGAGAGAGAGGCGCGAACACTGCAGAAAGGTTGGTGGTACACATATATACAGCCTCCTGATGAGTCGGTGAAACTCCGACGAAACAGTTTGTTTCTCACAGTCCCTCGTTTGTTGTCCTCTTCTCCCTTTTGTCCCTCCTTGCCTACCGTTTACCGGGCAGCTCTTTTGACATTTGGCCCGCATGTCCTTCCTTTGTCTGGACTGTTTTGATGGGATGGGATGGGATGGTCCGTGCTAGGCGTCCTGCTGAATGCTGTGTAGTGCCGACGTAGCTCTCCTTGGGTATCCTTGTGAACATGCACGTCATCCTCCTCTCAGCGTGCCTGTCCTATCTGCCGGGGTGGGGTGGGGGCTCCTCTGCCTGACTGGTCAATAGAATCAAGAGATCAGGAGCAACACTAATTGTAGGACAGATAGAAGAAAGGAAGAAAGGAAGTACAAATGTCAGGAGAAAAGAAAAAGGAAAACAAGAAAAAAGAAAAAACGAAAAAAAGAATGGTGAAATTTGTAGTGACAGTGACAATTGATTTATTATATGTGGGATCTGTCATTTGCTTTCTTGCCTTGTCTTTTCTTTGACCTTTCTCTTTCTCTTGCCTCTGTGAGGTCTGGTTTCCTCCTCCTTTTCTTTACCTCTTTTTTGCCTTTTGGCTGCGTGCAAGTGGGTCCTTGTGACACACGGGGATGGATGGGGGCAGCCAGCGCTCAACCTGTCATCCACGTGGCTGGCCTTGTACGTAAGAGGTGATGAACAGGTGGGGCTTTCCTTCCTTCTTTTCCTTTCCTTGTTTTGCTTTTTTCCGCCTTCGCGCTCTGATTTACAGTGTGACAATATGAGGGTTCAGCCTCCTGACGAGTCGGTGAAACTCCGACGAAACAGTTTGCCACAGCCCCTCATTTGTTGTCCTCTTCTCCCTCTCTGCCTACGGTTTACCGGGCAGCTCTGTTTGACGATCGATATATATGTTTTTTTCGCTTTTGCCGTCGATCGACACCAGAGAAAGAGGTAGGCTAGCCAAGCTATATATACGTTGGATAGGAAGAGGATTCTCTAATAAGCCCCACTTGATTGGAGACTTAGGATTTATGTAATACTTGTGTGACGATACATATATGAAGTTGATAGAACGTGGTGGGTTTCGGTAAAGAATGGTGATGGGTGAAGTTTTGTCTCGTGTGTTGGGTTAAGATGGGTTTAGATGGGTTTAAGTGGCTATTCAAAGGCGATGGTTTAATTTGGGTCCTCCGAATTCAGACCCCAAGGAGGCAATTTGTGTGGCGGAAGAAGAAGTTAGGAGATGGTGTCCTCTATATGGTGGCATTGGTTGGACGACACGTGGTGTGTAGTATCTATAAATAACATTTCCGTAAATTTTGTTCTATAAATAACATTTTTGTAAATTTTGTTCTCCCCATGGAATGTATCTAGTCATGTTTACGGACTATGTACGGAATAGATAACGTTTGTCATCAGGTCAAAGAGAAAAAGAAAAAGCAGGATAGGGTGGTGAGGTGCTTCTTTTCAGGGTTTTTATATATATATCGTCACAAACAGAACTGCCCGGTAAACCGTTGGCAGAGAGAGAGAAGAGGACAACAAACGAGGGGCTGTGACAAACTGTTTCGTCGGAGTTTCATATATGTTTGATAAGACCGTTGCATGGGATTTTCCTGTTATACGATATCCTAGTGCAACGTCGAACATTCCATCTCATCAGCCTGCAGGTGTGTTCACTGGCCAGCTTACGCGGTTTGAGCCGATTTGTGACAATTGGCGTGATTTCAAAACGGCAGCAACCATGCTTGTCCGCCGATTGCTCTCGCGTGGTCATGCTCCGTCAACACTGGCCCGTG